GCACCGGCAGGAGACGCCAGCTCCAACGGCGTCTCTGTAGAAGACGCCACCGGTCTTCTCTTTAAATATTAATATTTTAATATTTTAATATTATAATATTATAATAATATAATATTATAATATTATAATATTTTAATATTTTAAATATTTATATTAATATTTTAATATTTTCTGATTTTTAATTTTTTTTACAAAATAAAACATTAATATTAGTATTAAAATTTATTACATTTTATATATTTTATCCATTAGTGTTAAATTATCATTGCATATATTTATCTAATCAACACAATAAAATAGTGTACAATTTTGTCCGTTTTTGCATTTTGGTTTTCCAATAAATTAATATTTTTTTTATAAAATTCAATAGAATGTACTAACCGGAAGGGAAGAAATCGTGCCGCAAAATTTGACCAATTAATAGTGGCAGTTTGAAGTATGAAATTATATTTTCTGGTGTAACTTTAATGATCATATTTTGGATTGATTTATTATAATTTGATTAAATTTTAGAAATATGTACCTATTTTGTGTTAATTTCTTCAAATACCCTAATAAAAAAAAAATCAAGGGTGTTGTTTATTGATATTTGTAAAATATGTATATTGGTTTTTTGAGTAATTTGAAAAAAAAAATATAAAATAACAAGCAAATGTATATATATATATATATATATATATATATATATATATATATATATATATATATATATATATATATGGCACTGACTTCATAGTGCCAATTTTATTTTTTTTACTCATTTTGGACCTAATTATTTTATATAATTATTTTATTGGACCTATATATTTTATATAAATCTTTTATTTTCTAGAACTCCTTTTGTTTTTGTCTACATGTTTTTTAAGATTGTACACTATTTTATTGTATTGATTAGATAAATATAAACAATGATTAATTTAACACTAATGGAGAAAATATATAAAATGTAATAAATAATACTAACATTAATGTTTTATTTTGTAAAAATATTTAAAAATCAGAAAATATTTAAAATATTAATATAAATATTTAAAATATTATAATATTAAAATATTAAAATATTAATATAAATATTTAAAATATTAAAATATTATAATATTATAATATTATAATATTAAAATATTAATATTTAAAGAAAAGACGCCACCACCGGTGGCGTCTTTAAATATTAAATATTAATATTTAATGAGAAGACGCCGTTGGAGCTGGCGTCTCCTGCTGGTGCCGCCGTGGTAGGTGGCGTCCAACCCCAATTCGATTACACCCCCCAAAACAACCCCATTTTAAAAACTACAATAAAAAACAACACCAAAAAAAAAATTGCCCCGAGTGTATATAATTTTCATTTTATTAATGTTTTAAAATTAATAAAATAATTAAAAAAATTAAAAGAAAAAAACCCGGGTTGAACCCGGTTGAACCGGTCCAACCGTGACCCGAATGCCTCGCCGGTTTTGTGCCCGGTCCGGTTCTGATAACATTGATATTTTATATTAATTTTTTTTATAAATTTTTATTACAGCTTCAAAAATTTGGTAAAGCTCCTACCGTTGTTGATAAATATAAAAAAGGCTATATGCGTATCGACCCATTGATGCCATTCGTTGAATCCGGGTCATCCACGGAGGAGGGCAGGGGCGAGTCCACCCTTGGGCAAGGGTGGACTCAAGCCCACTCTCATTTTATTATTTTCCCCCCTATATTATACCATATTTCTATTTAGCCCACCCAAATTTTATTTACTAGCCCACCCAAAATTTCATTTAATGCAAAAGAAGCCCCATATTTTATTAATTAGCTTACCAAAATTTAAATTAATACAAAAAAGTCCCAAATTTTATTAATTAGCCCACCCAAAATCCAAATTAATACAAACAAAACTCTAAAATTTGTTTTTTTTCTTTTTTTTTTCTCGTTTCTCCTTTTCCTATTTTCAAAAAAATCCTAAAAAAATCTCGGGGGCGCTGCCCCCGAACCCCCGAAAATTGAAGCCCCCCCTGTACTGAATTCCTGGCCTCGCCACTGGAGGAGGGTGAGAGGGCAGAACCATATACTGGGATTGGAACTCCTGAACAACGTGCTATTGCGGTAAATTTTCATCCTTAATTGTTTTGTATGTTGAATTAGTTGGTGGGCTTTTTGTTTTGGTATTGTGTGTTTGATCTATTGTTTGGGATATATGTTAAATTGTGTTTGATCCATTGGTTGGTATATATGTTGAATTTGTTGATGTGTTTTCTATGTATTGATATTTTTTTGGTATGTCCATAGAATAGATGTTAAGCTGCCCAATTTTTTGTTTAATTTATGAATTTATGGTTATTTATTTGTATTTTCAGGAAGACTTGGAAAGAGCATACGAAGAGTGTATTAATGATGGAAAAGATCAAAGTACGGCCGACTCAATAGCTTGTGAAAGAGTGTTGGGTAAGACAAAAGTACTTGGGATTCAAAGCTCAACCACTAAGAAAATTGCAAGATCAAGATTTTCTTCTGTTAGAAATGAAGAGTTGGAGACTAAAGTCGAGCTCTTAGAAGGAGAATTGCAAGAATCGCGAGATGAGGTGAGCTCACTTAAAGAATCTTTGAACTCATTACTTAATACTTTAAGACAAAAAGGAATTGTCGATCAGCCCGTCTCCAAAACTCCAAATTCGGGTACTTCAAATGACGACGAAGAACGACTCAATTCGGATTAATTTCATTTTGTAATGCTACAATATTTTTCTAAGTTTTTATGTAATTCTAGATTCGTATATGTACTGTTGACTTGGTATTTAATTTTATGTAGACTTCGACTTTAATTTTATGTAGACTTCGACTTTAATTTTGCTATGTAATTTAATTTAGTAGTTTAATTGTTTTAGTGAAATTAATAATTATTTACAGGTAATTTATTATATATATAAAATAATATATAATATATATATAAAACTGTACAGTAACATTTGCGACGAATATAATTGTTTTCGTCGCAAATGAAGTACGTCGATGTACTATATTTCGTCGTAAATCTTTTTTTTGGTAGAACTAAATCTTGCGACGAATAGTTAACATTCGTCGCAAACATTGGCGACGAACAAAGAAATATCGAGGCAATACGTTGCGACGATATCTATATTTCGTCGCAAACTAATATTATTTTATTTTTTTTAAAATTGTTTTGTTGCGACAAAAGCAACAAACCATCGCAGACAGTAGCGACGATAGTGGAGATATAAACGTCGCAAACACAAAAACCTAATTTATTATATAAAATCGACTTTTTGCGACGAAAAGGGTTTTCGTCGCCCCCGTAGCGACGAAATATAGAATTCGTCGCAGCCTTTGCGACGGGATCATTGGCGACGAATTTGGACCCCAAGTGCGACGAAATATAAATCGTCGCAGGAGTCCTAATTTCGTCGCAAGAGTCCTAGTTTCGTCGCACATTTTCGTCGCCTGTGGCCGGTTTTCTACTAGTGACATTATAAGATTTGTGTTGATACGTTGATTCTATTGGTAGTAAAGTAGATCGTTTTTAAAAAAATTACGTCGTCACATATACATCCTTATTTTGTCTGATGATGTTTGTTTGGAAGAGGACTCACAAAGTTGACAGAGGATGGTTCACGCAGTCGGACCAAAGTTGTTTTATATGAGTGTCGTAGTTGGTTTACGCAATAATCGAAATAAATGTCTAGTGTGGTCGAGTTCATGAAGTTTGACCCCCGATTGATAGTTGGTTTATTTGTTTACAACAGTCGATTTTAGTGTGCTCGGTAGTACATTGAAATATATTTCGTAGTATTTTTTAATTGATTGTATGGATTATGCATTTTTAAGTTTATTTTTGATGATGTTAATTTATTGTCATTCATATGTATTTGCAGTCTATTTAATCATTTTTTAGTATTCTGCATTTTTAAGTTCGTTTCATAATTTTAGGTTTTTTTCGATGGCGAATTTCGTACGGATTTTGTTCAGGTTTGGCGGGTTGGTTGCTATAAAGAGGTATTCCAAAGCCATAAGCAACACCTCCACCACCACCTAGTCCTCCACCACCACATCCGACCACCTCCACCTCCAAGACCGCTAAAATCGACCAAGACCTCCGCCGCTCCCGCCTCCAAGGTCGTAACAATCAATTTAGGAGTGATATCGTCGTTGGCCGCTCCCTATACTATTCCACTATAATTGAAGAGAAAAAGAAAAGAGGAGAGAGAGAGAGAGAGAGAGAGAGAGAGAGAGAGAGAGAGAGAGAAACCAGAAAGTGAGAGGGAGAGAACGTGTTGAGCGGCGTGAGAGAGAGGGGAAGAGAGAGAGAAATAAATCAGAAAAAAAATAGACGTGACTTTTATTAGGTATTGTAAGGGTATTTTTTGGATATTTAAAAACCAAATGATGTGTATCAATTTTTATTTTGAAATAGGGATGTAGTTAAAATATTCTATTTGAGTTTGTCACTTATTTCTATTTAAGTTTGATTCGAGAGGTGTGGGGCATATTACCCCTAAATTATGTCACAAAATTATAATAATAACATTTTTCAGCCACCTCATTATAAGTTTATAACTTCATTTACAAATAAAAAATTAAAAAAATTACAAAAAAATCAAGTTGGGAGGTTCGGTAAAATTGGGGGTGGCATGATTTCGAAATGGAGTAGTAGTAGGTTCAAAGATCCGAGTTTGGAATATAGTTAATTCTCTTTCTTCTCTTTATCTTTCAACACTCACTGCAACAGATCTCTACACATTCATTCACAGTTCATACGGCGGAAGAAAGGGTAAAATTTCTATGCCCTAATTTTCTTCATTTTGTATGATTTTTCAATCAATCACCTTTCCCGATTCTGTCTGATTAATGCGTATCTCCATACATTTATGGGAATATTTCAGTTGTTTGGATTTGTTTCAGGGATTACATTTAGTTGTGCATCATTATTTGAATTGGGTTTTTTTTTCCTTTTTTTTTTTTGAAAGCTGAATTGAGCTTATTTATATGTTAATATTAATTTGATTGTTCGATTTTCTTTTTTAGCCTTACAAATGTGATTTAGCTGCTTTGAAAATATAATAGTGTATTTGGATGTTCTGACCAAATTAATTTAAGGTGTGATTGTGGGTTTGTAGAGGCTTTGTTGTAACATTGCTCCAACTGCTTTATCTCCTGTTATTAAAACTCGCCTGTTTGATAGCATACTGCAATAACTAATTACTATCTTAAATTAAAGATTACAAGTTTCCTTCGTGTGAGTGATTGATTTCCTTTTGGAAAGCTCTTTTGCTTAGTTAGCTCCCATCCCTATCGTCGAGTAATGCTTACCTCTTCTTTTTTTAAGGAATATCGTTTAAATAAGATCCGCATCCTGCGTGCATATGTGATGTACGCAGTTTTGCGTACTTACCGTTCTGATTATGCGGGTGTTTTGATTGTTGATTTTCGAACAATCTATTCCGAATATTTTGCTTGGTTTTGGATCTCGATTGAAGTGTAGTTCGTTTGATTTATAAACATTGTAAATAAGCATATGTTTAGCAAGTTCATATTCAGAGTTCGGTGGTATGCAGCTTAAGCTTAACAAATATCGCGTAATACACGCTTTACTTTGTTTACGGACAAAATTTGATTCTTGTCCACTAATTTTCATGTTAAGTTCTCAATGGCAATAACACCTTCAATATGTACGTGAATTTAAATTCTCACGTATATTAGTAACTTGCATTTACATATAAAAATTTCATTCATTGGTTTTGATGATTGTGTTTGTGGTTTGTGCATGTGAATTCAGTCCCGATACGTAAAGAGCAGATAATTTGATGGAGGGCTTGACGATTGCACAAATCAAATTGAAACCGATACACTCTTTCTCTAGGCAACATAATAATACGATCAACATTCCTTCACTCGGTCCGAAAGTTACGAGGAAAGTGTTGTTTAATCCAGCTAGGGTTATGAGAATTCCAAAATCATTTAATTCAGTTTCTGCTTCTGTTCAACCATTGGAGGCGGGCCGTTTTGACAACACCTTACCTTCCAAAGGTACATCTATCTAGGATTATTACCATATAATAGCACCATTATGGAATTTTAATTTGAATAAAATTGTATTTTTTCTCTGCTAACGTTATTTGTTTTTTAATTTTTTTTTTGTAAAGAGGTGCTCGAGGTGTGGGGAAATGCCGATGCTGTATGCTTTGATGTGGATAGTACAGTGTGCTTGGACGAGGGGATTGATGAGCTGGCAGAGTTTTGTGGAGCTGGACAGGCTGTCGCCGAATGGACTGCAAGGTCTAATGACATTTGATTTATTTATATTTTTATTCAGTTTCTCTTACATTTGTACGTCATTTTAATTTGTTCTGTCTGACAGGGCAATGAATGGTTCAGTTCCTTTCGAGCAAGCCTTAGCCGCAAGATTATCTCTATTTAATCCATCTCTTTCCCAGGTGCAGGAGTTCCTTGAGAAGAGACCTCCGAGGTACAAAACTTTTTTTTATGTTTGTATTTTTTCATATTTATTTTTACTACAACAAAGAGATTTTTCATCGGTCATTAGTTTCATATTGACTGCTTTCTATGTATGTATGTATTTCGAGGAAGTAGTATTAGAATATGATATTTGGGCATCTCATTCGTTAAGTCTTCATGAGATGGTCATCACTACAAGGGTTTTAAATAATTTTTCTACATTGAAGCATATGAAAATCATTTCGAAAACTATTAGAGAAACCGAGTATTTCTTTTTCTTTTTCTTTTTATTTTCTTGACATGGTTGGCTTTTTTTTTTTTTTTTTTTTAATAGACTTTCTCCGGGAATTGATTTATTGGTTAATAAGCTGAAGGAGAAGAACAAGATAGTGTATCTGGTTTCTGGAGGTTTTCGTCAAATGATAAATGTAAGCTGCTTAGTTTGAAAGTCTTCTATTCATGATTGCTTGTAGTTTTATGTTCATAAAAGCCGTATGTGCAATATGTATTAATGGAATCTGAGAAAATAAAGTGATAAATACATTAATGATGAAAGACAAAGAATACGAACAAAGTGCCGTACATATTTTAAACAGAAAGGATGAAGAATACGAATGAAGAGCCGTACATGTCGCTTTGTGCAATTTGGCAATCGTGGTAACCATTATATGTTAACTTCGTGCTCTACTATTGGGTGAATAGAAACAATTTTAAATACAATGCATGTATAGATTATGGTTCAAGCTCCTAATTTTGAATACATATATCTATTTATATTTGAAGCCCATTGCATCAATTCTTGGTATACCGCTGGAGAACATATATGCCAATCAACTTTTATTCAAAAGCTCTGGGGATTTCTCGGGATTCGATACTAACGAGCCGACTTCAAGAAGTGGAGGGAAAGCCATTGCCGTTCAACAGATTAGGAAGGTCAGACTACTTCATTATCATTTATATTTATCTTGGTTTTGTAAAAAACAAAAAAATAATTAATTTTTATTTCCAGGCTAAAGGGTTCAAGTCTTTAGTGATGATTGGAGATGGTGCAACTGATCTTGAGGTGAGAAATATTCATCTTCCCTTGTCGGATAAATTTCGTGTCACGCATTTCTGTTTAGTTCAACAAGAATCGACTCTTCTAGCTATTTCGCGTAATTTGCGCTCGGTAGATTTTTCTTTAAGTTGATGAATTTCTGTTTCTTCTCTCTTTCTCAATAATTACGGTACAGGCTCGTCAGCCAGGTGGAGCTGACTTGTTCGTATGCTACGGTGGAGTTCAGCTTCGAGAGCCCGTTGCAGCTAAAGCCGATTGGCTCGTCTACAATTTTAAAGACTTGATCAATTCGTTGGACTAGGTTTTCTGCCCTGAGTTTCCTCATTGTTTTTTTTTTCCCTTTCATTCTTGCATAATTTCGTGCATTTTTTTTTCGTGTATAAGTTCAGTCTGATGAGAGTACTGAATTTGTTTGTTTCGTGCGTAAGTTCGGTCCATAACAAGGAATCTAGCTAATTTGATTATTGTCAGATTTGGCGGCTGTATCGGATAAGAAATATAGTAAATTCCTCTTTTGCCCCTGCTCGTTGGAATTTTGTTTTTCTTTTTTTAAGAATTATAAAACTTTAATTTCGAAATTATTGGATTAGCTATATTAAAGAAAGAGTTTTCTCCAATGAATAATAGCCTTTTTAGGAATATTGAACACCTTTTAATCTACTCCAATTTCATAAGGAGTCTCTTTGAATCATAAAAAAAAAAAAAAAAAAAACAATCACGTGACAGTTTTATTCTTAATTAAAGTTTAAGACCATGCAATTCCTCATCCTATACCAACTCACCAAATAATTAATATATTCCTGAACATGAAGACCATGCAAGAGTATACGATGAAGAAATCGGCGAAGAGGGTGAGGATGACTATGCCGTTCGGATTTCAATGCAATAAATGCGAAAGACATACGGACAAAGGTGAAAAACTTTGGTGTTTCAAAAGAGCAATCGGAATCGACTCAACTTTCGAATTTGAAATTTACCGATTTGAATTCTGGTGTCAATGTTGTCGAAGTGACTTTTCGATCGTTACGGATCCTGGCAGATACTATTACGTTCTTAAATCAGGTGCAACTTTCGTTGCCAAAAGGTTTCATAAATTGCGATATCATGTATAATTTATATTTAGCTTGTACTTTGTTTTGACTTTAGATGAGAAGTTGTATTATGTTTTTGAACTTTCAATAATGGGGAAATATGCAATACCCCTCAAATGAAAAATATTTTGAACTAAACCCAATAGACATTTAAAGACTTTTGCTTACACCCAAGTTTCATTCTTAATTAGTGAGACCCCCCTAACCAGACATGATAAGACTAAAGTGCCCTTATGTGGTTAGGTTTTTAACGTGATACAATTTTATCTCTCTCTCTCTCTCTCTCTCTCTCTCTCTCTCGTTCTCAATTTTCTTTTTCTTTTTTTTTCTCCTTTCTGCAGATGTCTAACCGCCGACGCTCTCATTCCTCTTTTTCACACCACCGCCGTAGTCCGTTCGCCGCGTTTCGTTGGATGCGTGATTTCTACATAGAGATTCCCCTTTTTCGTTATCTCTCTCGATATCTCAGGTTTTTGTTTGTTTTTTTTTTTTTTTTTTTTTTCAGATCCGGCCACCACCACCACCATAGCTGGCTCCCCACTCTCTCTTTCATTCACCTTCGTTGTAGTCGGCTCCGCCTCCCTCCCCTTCGTTATTTTCGAATTTTTTCTTTTTTTTTTCTCTCCAGATCTGAAGCAGTAACATCAACGTGACTATGGTCTGGTTCGAACATGACTATTGCTGATTCATTCGATTAGTGATTTATTAATTTCTCGTGTTCGTTGTCTCTCTCTTTACACCACCATCGTCTCCACATAGATTTGTACACCACCACCACCGCTCGTTGCCACCGTCTCCTCCTTCGTCTCCACGTAAGGCACTTTCTCTCTTTTTCGTTATCTTTCTCGATTTCTCAAAAAAAAAAAAATCTTCAGACTTGTCCACCACCATCGCCGCCTCTTTCACTCTCTTTCCTTGACCGACGTTGTCGTCGACTCCCCCTTCCTCTCTTTCGTTATTTTTCTATCTTTATTTATGTATTTTTCGATTTCTTTTTTTTTTTTTTTTTTTTTTTTTCAGATACGAAAATACAGTTTCAACCCAGTGATGAAAATTTTGAATACATATTTCCTCAGTTAAGAAAAATGGGCCGGGCAAAGTGTTCAAGACTTTGGAAACATGTGTCGAACAGATGAAGGGAGTCGAACTTGATGATAGAATTCTGGAGTCGTTGCAGTCTTGGGCTCCTGCTGATGTTGCGAGGAATTTTAGTTTTGGGCAAGACGGTTTGCTATCCGAGTTTCGCAAAATTTGTGAACTGGAAATTAAATCTTTGCAGACGCTTAGACTTCAACTGTAGGTCAAGTGAGTTGAAGAGTTGGTTTCAAGTGAGAAATTTATTAATTTTTCCTGTTATGATGCACAATTTTGTTAGTTTCGTGTTTGTTTTTTTCCTTCTTTTCATTTAGGTTTATTTCGATTCATCGGAAGATGCATGGAAAATTGGAGTGTTTTCAGAGAGTTTTTCAGTGTAGATCTAAACAGCAGCAGTAATATGACTATAGTCATATTCGAATATGACTATAGTCATATTTATGTATTTTTCGAATATGACTGTAGTCATGTTCGATAATGACTACTGTTAAATATGTTCTATTTTCTCGTTTTCAAGTTGACTTCTAATAACTAGATACAAATTGTGATTTTTTGTGTGGATATTGATTGGATTGTTTTCGTAAACAATAGGGTTTCGTTGTTTTATATGATTTGGTAAACATGACTATGCCATATAATCGGAATTTTTTAATTCAAAATGTAAAACAACAATATAAAGAAAGAATATGACTACAGTTCATATAGTCACATATAGTCATATTCAACTATAGTCATATTCGGCGTTGCAAACCTGCCAGAAAAAAATTTCAATTTTTTGTTTAAAAAAAAATATATTTTGATTAAAAAATATTAAAAATAAAAATAAATATAACAATAAAAAAATACTTGATTTGGTAGCAATTAATAAGTCCGAAAATAATATAACAATAAAAAATAAAAAAATAAAGTCCGAATTTTTTTTTTTTTTTTGATTTGGTAGCAATTTTTTAGGAATTTAGAAGCAGATTTTTAGGAATTAGGTTATTGTTATGGAAAGAGAGAAAAAAGGTATAATTGAGATATATTAATTATACTAATTAATCCTAATTAGGGGGATTTAGATGCCTTATTAATAGGAATTTTGTAAATATTGGATAATTATTAAAAAAAAAATGTGATGAGTAGTACAAGGGTAAGATTGGAAATAAATAGTTTAGGGGGTTTTCACAAAGAAAAATTTATGGTATGGACATATCACCATTTTTTACCTATAGGAGGGGTGTATTGCTAATGACCCCTTCAATAAATTTTTAAATAGCATTTTTTCTTTTTTTTAATCATGGTGATTACTGTTTTTAATAGGGTTTTTATTTATTTTTTTACTTTTTTTTTAATTTATTTTTTCATGATTCACGTACTGGAGTGGTGTCGAATGCCTTGTCAATTGTATTAGGTTTAGAAGTCAAAATTTATAAGATAATAAACATTCGGAAATTTTAAGACGTATCATATAATATATACAATAATAATGCATAAAAATAATTTTTAAATTACATAGTACAATGCATAATTTATAGATCTATGAAGGGTTAACAAAATATGATATAATTGTCATTTGTTTCTTGTTGAATTTCACATCGCCAACAACTGCATCCCTCATGTTGCTTAACGTGGTTAGAACTTCTGATATAATTTTCTCATAACTCAACAGAAAATTGTTTAATACCATTATTGCTTTAAGAGCTTCCGTTCGAGAAACGGACTCTATAGTCCATTGAAAGACTAATGGTACAATGAACAATATATACGTAAACAAATTATAAAAAATGTACTTGTTGAAAAATAATTTCATAAATTAATAAGTTATTAATTAATATATGAATGAATAATTGTCAATTTAACGATAACTTAATATTTCGCTAACCTAATAAGATTTTGATGGTTGCAACCAAGGTTGTAAAATGCGGTAATCGGGTCGGAGGCGGTCAGGCACCGACTCATGATTAATCGGTGCGGCGGTGATTAATCGGTGATAAATCGGAAATAAATCGGTTTTTAAAATTTAATATATATGATATATTTCTAAATATTATTTATAAATACTCAAAACATATATAAAATGATATTTACACATAGTTATATCTCCATCATGTATATATCCTAATAACATAATAAAAGTTTAATAATGATAATAAGATCATAATACATAAATATCCTTATAAAATAAAAAGACAATTTTTTTGAATTTACATTTATTGTTGAACATTCCTGGCATACATCATTAGTTATATAACAATAACAGTTAACATAAACAAAACAAACCATAAACTCATTTTTTTTTTATTAAAATCCGAAGTTTTATTTTGAATTATTACAAAAAAAAAAAAAAAAAACCGATTTTTGACCGATTTTTGGCCGATTTTTGCCACCTAGTTTGACCCGCCTTAAAGGTTTGACCGCTTCAGACCACCTCGGACCGCCTAAACCCGCCTCACAGACAACAAACCGATTTTTCAATCCTTTACACTAAAATCGTAAAGGTTTTGGACCGCCTCCGCCTCAGAGACCGATTAATCGGCCGCCTCGGCCGATTTTTAGAACACTGGCTGCAACTACATTAATTTATAGATGTTTAACTTGTAGATTGTATTTTGAGGTAAACATTAATTGTTTGGATTATTTTTCTTCTAAAAAAATATTTTTTTTCGTGCTGTTGAAAAAGTTTTGTGTTTCAACAATACGAAAAAAAAAATAAAAAAAAATAGAACACTAAATTGATGCACAAATTTCGTGTTGTGGAGCATTAAACCCTGATTTGTTTTTTTTTTTAATTTCACTTTGCACTCTTAAACTGTGGCGTTTTGGCATTTTACATCTTGAAAATAAATTATTAGTATTCTATACGATGAAAACTCAATTATCTGAAATATATAAATTAATATCACAAATTATATTTTGCAACTTCGTTCAGAAAAAAAAAATGACTATATAAATTGATGGGTTAAATACACTTGCACCTTTGAAGTATAGTTTATGTGACACTTATTCCCATAAAATATCATTTGTAACACTTACCCCTCAAAATCAATTGTTTTATATTTTTAAATTTAAAGCATAATAAACATAACAATTTAATAATTATTCGATCATAAAATATTGAAAATTAACTAAAATTAAATTATGGAGAATAAAAATAAAAAGTAATATGTATTGTATAATAATGAATGAAAATATATTTTAAGAAATTATTAAACTAGAATAAATTTAAATGTTTACGTTTATTATTAGTTTTGTATTGATTTCTTAAAATTTCGATTTGAATATATTCAATCAACAACAACTAGATGATATTTATTGAATATGTACCCAACGCAAGATAATATTTTTAAATTTAAAAAAATATTGC